TAGTCACTTTTTACTACGCCTAACTTCTCGATCTTAATGAGGCATGCCATAATTAGTTTGGCTACTTCTACCTTAATCCATATGCTCGCAAATGAGTGAAGTTACTTCCAAAAGTGGGAAGTGTTTTCGGTGGTAGCTGTTTCCTTACACAATTAAATCATCTAATGTTGATTCATACTTGGTCTTGTGCTATTGTCTATTGTGTGCATGTAATGTTCATGTCATGGGGAATCTGAAAGTCCAAGCTAAACTCAAGGCCAATCCAGTCTCATTCTATTGCTCTGTGGCTCTTCCTGCACCGCATCTCTTTCGCTTTCCTTAAGTTTATCTAACAGCCACAAATATTTCCTACTCAGTTATCTACACTCTTTACTTCCATTTAAGATGATGGCTATTTTGTTAATTTATATAGACTCACAAGTCTTACGCTTTGACGTGAGGTACCCGTAACCCGCAAAACGTTGTGTTTTGGATGAGTCTATTGAGTTCCAATATTGGCCATATGTTCAGCCAACTCAGATTTTTGGACCCACATATCTTTACAAGCCATTTTGTATTGGCATAGTCTCTTATGAATAGGTCGGTAGGTCTCCCCCACATAGACCTTACCACATGAGAACAAAACCTTGTAACAAACTGATACAGAAAGAGAATTTAAAAATTCTCTAAACAGGAACTACTGAAGAAAGTGTAAATTTATCCTTATACTTTGTTTTTATGTTTCACTTCCTAATTAGATCACATAATTTTTCCACAAGCTTACAGGAAGGCAAAATCAGGAAACGAGTAGATTGATCCAATTGTCTATCCCGCCCCAGATAACAAACTCTCATCATCATGTTAACGACAATTGGTATCTAATTGTTCACTACTCTTAATGTGTAATTTTTCTGTAGCAATATATGCCTCAATTTACCAATCTCCTGGTCCATGTAGTTTACGTCTGCTAGATGTGGATGAAGGGCTGGTCCTTTATCACCTTAAACGAAATATGGTGAATATAACCCATATATCTGATTTACTGGTGGTCTCGAAAACCTACTAACTAAAAAAGTAATGTTGTCGATTGCTATAGCAAATATAAATTTGCTTAATCGACAATCCCAACACAGAATGTGATATGGAAAATGCCTGACATTCGTTGAAATTCATATCTGCCCTGTGACCCGAGGACACTCGTGGCAATATTGCATAGTCGCTAACGTGTCGAGCTTATATGTTGCACTGTCCTGATTCGACTCCCGTTTGGGGTGTTGAGTAGACCTATGCGAGGTCGAAACTGCAGTCCACCATGGATGAGAACACCTTTTTGGAAAGCAAGGCTATGTAAAATTCAATATAAAAGTCAGCTTCACTCATATCATTGTGGGAAAATTCTACGAGCAGTCCTTCATTACCTTAAACGAAATAGGATGAGTACAACTATTTGTGTATGTTGGATAGGCCTAAGGAGAGGGAGAGAGAGTAGTGTAGGAAGATACATTGAACAAGATAAGGCTGGATTGTACTCGAGTCTAGCTTGGACTTTCAGATTTCCCATGACATGAACATTACATACACACAATAGTCAATAGCACAAGACCAAACATGATTCAACATTAGAAGATCGTACACTGATTTAATTGTGTAAGGAAACAGCTACCACCGAATGCACTTCCGGTTCGGGATGTAACTTCACTCATTTGCGAGAATGTGGGTAATGTTGAAGTAACCAACCAAATTATGGAATTCCTAATTAAGATCGAGAAGTAAAGTGTAGTAAAAAGTGACTAGCGTTTCAGCCGGCCACTTGTCTCTTGGGTTAGTATATTTTTGCTGTATTTCGTGAAGTATGGATGCCCGCTATGATGTCTGACATAAGTAGACGAAGGCTCAGCACAGTTTCATCGAGGTCGCGGGACGATAAGTCGTAGACCTCTTAGCACAATTCAACAGTCTTCCCTACGCGGCAATCCTCCTTCCGTTTCCGGTGAGATTACATCACGAATTCCTTCCCACCAACTTTCCCTTCGAAATGGAGAGTTATGTAACAATATATCACTAAGGAATTCTTCGAAATCCAGTTTTACTTCATAGCTTTGAATAAAATATCTTTTCATCCAGTAGAGTGACTAAAAGTGATCACAAACTATAGTAACAACCAGTGAAGTCAGACTACTGGACAAATATAAGCAAAAATAGATATGCAAATAAAAATATATGAGTGAAAAACACTATATTTTATGATATAGGGAAAGAAGATAAATACCTCTATTAGAATATCCACACATTCTTCGTGCCCGTTGGCAACAGCACGATGCAGAGCTGTCCTACCGTAGACATCGCAGGCGTTTAAGCGTGCTTGCATCCAGCTCAGGTCAGCAGCCAACGGATTACCTCCGTCAAGAGCGGTCTGGTCACCTGATGCTGGGGGTTGGTGCAACCGTAGCACAGATGTCGCTTTCTTTGAAACTTCCCCATCTGCTACCAACATTACCGAAGATAAATTGCCCGAGGCAAGGGTGCTTGAATCTCTAATTTCAGAACCTAAAGGCCATAGGTTTTTGCCATGGCTGCTTTTTATGCCGAATGTGCCAGAAATCGTTGGGGAAGGGAATGCGTTCGAGGCAGACGCGGAAGACCTGCGTACAGCCAGCGCAGAGGCAAAATTCAGATTGGCCGTGGGGGAAAGAAGCAAGCGAACTACGGATGGGTGATTGTTTTGGGCAGCCAGCATCAAGCAAGTGCGACCGTGTTCATCACCTAAATCGGCAGGATGCAGGTCAGTGCGAAATACGGATGAAGCAGCTGCTAAGGAGAAGGAAGTTGGAACTGATTTGGCCGACGGTCAGAGAGGAAAACCAAAAAAAACTGCCAACAGCTTAAAGTAATCACATTTTGTCACGTTTTAGCATCAGAATTTCGTGGGTCTAGTCTAATTTTTTGTAGATTATTCTGCATTAAACCTGGTTGGCTAAAGAGCGCTTTCCACGGACTTAAACAAATTACTAAACTAGGCACAGATGAGTGGATCAATGGATATAATGCCATGAATCTTATCAATTCTTTAACGTTAAATTATATCAGATCAGGACATGTACCACTAAAATCCAACTTTGTTTTTATCTCGTCTGGTCAGAGCATTACTATCTAATCTAGGCATTTATCTTGCCTCCAAATCAGTGGTAAGGAAAACAAGGAAGAGGAACAAGGCTAAATGAAATAAAGTGGCATCTTAGGGCCTACACACATGATCATGAAAAATGTCAAATGTCAGTCCTCCATCAAGTTATGAACCTAGGGCGATTACAGTACTGACCCAAAAAACATTTCTTATTCAAATTTTTCCTCTCCTGATGTTCATTTATTCTATTAGCTATATTCAATACTTTAATTTGTAAAAGCATAAATAGAGACCTAGTAAAATGGTAAGGAAAGAAAACAAATTTAACCGTTTTATATATCATCTATTCGTCTAATCTAGATTTAATCGAGTAGCGAATATAAAGAAAGCGGTACTCATTGAGAATTTCGAATTAGATTCGAATGATCTAAGAAGTAGTAAGTCTGATATATGTAAAGAACAAGGAGAATTCGAAACTGATTCAGAATCTGGATAAAAAACACCATAAAAATGGAGTGAATATGCAAGTCGCGTCTCTTCTTTATATCTTTGTATGTATCCCATCAATCAAGCACTAAAATTTCAGACAAACGGAGGTATTGAAGTCGTTTGACCTTGTTTTCGCAACTTGGTCATATAGGTAGGAAGACTTAGAGGAACGCACCTTGTCCGGGTCCATTGTATGCATAATCATTCCCAAAGGCGGACCGTGGACGTAGTACATTCACAGACGTTTCGCCGGCATCGTCAGTGAGTTTTTCAAGTTGTAGCACCATATTACAACTCGTCAAAGGGAAAAGTGAAGCCGGTCCTTTGACCAAACGTGTGCTAAACGGTCATGGTATCTCCTCTTCTGCCCTGACATATTCACATTTCCTATATCCTCCTATCACGCCTTCACTGTCAAAATTGTATACTTGCTTAATTAAATGTGGTACATTTTGCCCTTTCGAGCGGCTTTCATGGGAAACCTCCGTACTCCACGCTGGC